TCTAGATTCGTTAATTATTTATAACAAAGTCATAAAAATATTAAAAAATCACTTTGAAGTTTAAAAAATTCAGTTTATTTAGATTTCAGTTTATTTTAGTAGCCCGCCGATGCTAAAAAAACAAACAGTCTTCTTTTTTCAGACTGCAGACGTTTGATCCACCTCTTCTACTGCAGAGGTCTACAGATATGGTCCGCAGACTGCAGACATTTTGCCTCAGAAAAAACAAACAGCACCTAAATGAACGTAAGGTCTGTTTATGCTTATGTTTTTGTATTAACGATGACATCCCAATGATTTAAAATGAATAAAATACATTTCTTCGGAAATGTTTTGATAATATATTTATCATGTTTTTCTGGGAACAAATTCCGCAACATATTTCTTTAAAATTGATACTCTGATTTTCAAATAAGCATAAATAAAATTTTTAAAATGACCGTGAATTTTGGGATATCACAAATTGTTACCTTCGTGACCCATGTGATGCCCTAGAAACGTTGCCATCGTCGTCATTAGATTTTCCAGATCTAGAGGTCACCGCCCCTATGAAGATCTTCAAAGTAAGGGTTTGAGAACCCACTGTCTCTCTTTAGATGAAGAACGATGGTGGCAAGTGGTTTCTTGTGACAATCACAAGTCAAAGAAGATGAAAGACGACGTGGCGGGTGGTTTCTTGTGGTGGCGGTGGTGGATTGCAGTTGAGAGAGAGAGAGAGAGAGAGAGAGAGAGAAGTTGTGGATGGGTTAGTATTACGTAGGGAGTAGGGTGATTATTTTCTATTTTAATTTAGAAAACAGTTAAATTAAATAAAAGAAATAGAAAATACAAATACAAAGGGCAAATTCGTTATTTTTAAAAAGTTCAAACAAATTGGACCAAAGTTACCACAAATGAAACCTTTTGAACCAATGGTACTAAGTTACTAACTCCAAAACATTTTGGACAAAATTCCCAATTTTTGACAAATCATACTTTAAATTATATCAAAAAGTTTGCTAAATAATGAAAAAAAAAACGCTCCACGGGCATCTGTTAGCCCTTCTGTCATTTGTAGACCTGGCAATGGGGCGAGTTTGGAGCGAATCGACCTTGATCCAAACCCTTTTAACAAATTTCAAAATTCGATCCAAACCCGCTCTGTAACCCG